CTGCGTGGACCGTCTACACTGGAGGGAGAAACTGGGGCCTTTATTTTTTAACATGAAGCCAAGGAAGCCCTTGTCATTCCGAGACCCTGCTGCTTTGGCACTGAAACTTTTTCCCCCTTATTTATGCATACAAGAACTGGGGTATAGGTCAGAGGTGGGGGGGGGGGAAGTGAGAGGATTCAGCAGAGACAGAGTGGGGAGCAGGACAGGAGGATCTACTGAAACACACTGCTGAGGGGAGCAGCGGGGAGACAGGGCAGGTCTGCTGTGCTGTGTGGGTCACTCCCTGGCCAGGTATCAGTGGCTGAGGAGGGCTTGATAGCGCTAAGACTTTAACCCCTGCACCACCAGGGAGGCCCCGGCATTGAAACTTTCCCCCACCCCATCCTGCTCACATTTTGCTCACGGCAAGTGCATAAAGGACAATAAACATCCCAGTGGCGTTTATTCTGATTACAGCTTAGAGTTCCCGGCAGAAAGCACAGAATTACAGCCTCAATAACTACCTGCCGAGGACTAAAGGATTCATGATCTTGAGCCAAGGTGCTGTACAACCAAGCCTGGACCTCACAGCAGCCGAGTTCCGGCTCTGCTCGAGCGTGGTCGCCACTCGGAGGCGACGCAGCGGCCGCTGGGTGAACACGGGCTTCCTCGCCGCCTCCCCGGGGAGCTGATTTAGGGACAGCTGCGCTCCGAACATGTGGCTGTTTACTTAAGAACTAGGACATGCGCCCATAAAAGCATAAACACTCACTGTCACCGTGATGGCGCTGGTCCCCCCTGCACAGGAGCGCGCAGCCTGGACGCTGGCGACGAGCGAAGGTGCTGGTGAGCCCAGCCCGCAGCCTCGGGGAGCTCGATCCCGGGCTCCACATCAGCTGAATCTCAGGGCTTCATTTTCACATTTAAATCAGACGTAGGCAGGTGATCTGACCTCCTCGGTTTCTCTGCGCTTTACGATTGTGTATTCTGTGCTCCAGGATTTTATAGGTTATAGCCTGTGGTTTTCCAGGCATTGCCACTCAAGGCTAAGCTTCCCACACCCAACCCGAGACACTTTGCTCCCTGGTCTTGGCTCCCTTGCCCATCATTTACCGCATGTGAATGTATTTAGTAAGATCAAGGTGAATTAAAAACACCTGCTGATGACGACTGGCTTTGCGGCCGCGGGTGAGCAGGGTGTCAAGCAAGGCGGGTCAGTGGTAATCACGTTTCTGGAGGAGAAGCCCTGAGTGTCCCTTAGTTGTTCACATTAGCGATGGCCACATGTCCAGGAAGACACCCCCCAACCCCCACGTAGCACCAGAAGCCTGCATGGAATGAGGGGGGTTCTGGCCTCTGACTTGCTCCACCGTTATGAGTTGACTGTAACGGGGACTTCGATCAGCTGATACTGCAGCCAGGAGGAGGCTGGACAGCTGGAGGACTTGACCCGAATTGCCTGGGCGTATCTGGGCCAGGCGGCCTGACGTCAGGCCTGTGGCCTCTGTACCGTTGATTCCTCCAGTCTGCGCCTCTGGTCAGATAAAAATCCTCTTCTGGAGGATGCGCCTCAAGACGACGCTGTTTGGCATCTTGTAAGCAAACACTGGAGACAAGAAATCACATGTTTTTGCCATTCAAACACTTACAGAGAAGGAGTCATCCCAGCCTGCGTCTGGCTGTGCCCTGGGGGTGTCACCGCGGGGAGCGTGAGCAGGAGCCACATGCCAGCTCCTCCGTGCAGCACACGGGCAAAGCACGCAGGTCCAGCCAGCGGTCTGGGGCCGCCTTTGCCCCGCAGCTCACAGCTGACCGCAAGTGGATTGGTGAGGAGCCAGGGGTGGGGACGGCTGGGGAGAGCGTGGACCGACTGGCCAGGTGGAGGCTGGCAACAGTTCAGAGCCGGTCCAGGTGTCCAGACAGGATGCTGCTCCCAGCTCTCAGGACTCACCTGCTGGGTGAGCCTAGGGGCCACCAGCAGGAGATGGTCTGCCCCGCGGCTTCTGAGAGCCCAGCGAGGCCACCGGCGGGCACATCTCCTGTGGTATTTAGCTCGCAGCTAAGGCAGGGCCAATTACCTTCCCTACACAGGTAAAGGGCTTTGTCTTTCCTGATCTGTTTTTCTGTTTCCCTCCCTCACCTTGCTTTCTCAAAAGGCACAGCAGCGAGACCCAGACCTCAGAGCCAGGCTGCCTTCAGATCCACACTCGACACCTGTGGACACTCTACGTTCTGTCTTGCCACCTGGCTTTCCTTATCTGCAAACCACTAACTACCCGGCCATGTCACAGGGCCACCAGCGGGTGAGAGGGCAGGACAGAGCCTGGGACATCCATTGTGTCTCTGCACCTGCTCTTCCTGAAATAAAGAGAAATCCGAAATAAAGAGAAACCTGTTTCTTTCCAAAGAGGACATTGACGTGAGCATTTGCTACATGAACAATTAGGACTGCTGTGTTGGTTCCACACACCCCCAAATGATAGAGATGGGGGGGTAATAGAGATTCATCCCAGTATGTCTAACCACAAAGTGTCATGTCCTGGGAACACCCTATATTCTGGGCACTCTGCCCAGAGGACCTCCCAATCTACAGCAATTCTAGAACGATCTCTAGACTGACTTACCTTTCCCTTGGCTTCCTTTAAGTTTCCGAATGGGCCAAGTGAGCCCCCTGCTGCTATTCCAATGGCACCTGGGCCACTGGGCTGCTCACTGCGAAGTAGATAATGAGCGAAGAAGAAGAAATGCTTTTTGGCTACTTATCTCTAATATCTAAAAATGTATCAACACTTGCAGGAATTCAGCAGCCGAGGTTGAACGTCACAGTCACCTGAAATGTCCAGCTGGGAGAAACGCCCCAAATACTGACTTCTCAGCAGGACAGAGTGGTAGACCCTGGTGTCCAGATGCAAAGAGAGTTTCATGGTTATCCCCCACCCCCAGTTTCCTTGCTAAAGCTTGACAAAAGAGGCAGCACTTGTAACTTTGAAATAACAAAATCCATGGATTCCCTATTACATAATAGGGAATTTGTCTGCTTTGTCTGTTTTTACAAACCAGCCCTTTCCACAGCTGTGCGTGGCTCCAGATATTCTCGCTGTGAGGTTTGGGCAGAGAAAGCCCTCCCAGGTCCCAAGTCATGTTGTTTCCAGGAGGCCATCTGCTCTCTCCTGCTCTCCACACTTTGCACAGAGCCATCCATTATGCTTTGCAACGTGCAGTGTGGACGTCTGTGTAATTCCTTCAGGGTAGAAAAACAAACACGTGCAAGCTAGAATGAAGATGATGGGGGCGAGGTAGACAGCTGGTAAACTCAAAAAAGTTGAAGTCACCTGCTGAAGAGCAGTGCTTCTCTTTGGGTGGAAAAGGATTTTGAGGTTTCTCTATAGAAGACGGGAAAGGAGCAGAGGACATGTGGAGTCAGAGCCGTTGGGGGAGAACAGGTAAAGTGGACTCAATCAGAGCCTGTGATTTGCTCCAGACAGAAATTACTCTGAAGCCATCACTTCCGTCTGCCAGCCCTGTGACAGTGAGCACAGGAGTTCCATTCGTGGGCCCCGAGCCCTCCACCTCTGGGAAGATATATTTAGGTCCTAGCCCCTGGTACCTAATACCTGTCCTTGCAGACATGAAGTTAAGATGAAGGTCCTTCTGGATGAGAAGGGCCCTCTCTGTGACTGGCGCCATTATAGGGAGAGGGTATCACCCAGAGGCCCAGACCCACACGTAGAGGAAGGCTCGTGGGGACACGTGGAGGTTGGGGTGATAGACCTACAGAATGCCGAGGATTCTTGGATGTCAAGGGAAGTGAGAAGACACAGGGCAGGAGTCTTTTCTAGAAAGTTCGGAGGGAGCATGGCCCTGGTAACCAACACCTTGATTGTCTAGAAGTTCACAGATGCTGTTTCTACTGCTTATGACTTGTCAAGCTCATGCTTTGTAAAAACTGGTGAGTCATTAATTCCAAAGAGTATGCATTTTTATTTAGAAGATAGTCATTTGTGTTTTAAAATAAATTCCAATCTCTGGGTAATCTAGATTGATTTAGTTTACCAATTTTATCTATTTAATTCTTTATCACTTCAGGGCCCTTATCTGTTACTTTCAGTCTTTGAGTCTCCTCAGGGTAGGTGTCTTGTCAGCCATTTCTCTTTGTTTCTAGTCAATGGATTCTTTTCCGAACCCTGACAGGATAAGTTTTAGGTATTCTGGAAAATGTCTTCCTTCAAAGAGGGTTGAATTTTCTGTTGGCAGCAGATAGAGATTCAGCAGTTTGCCTTGGTCATGAGCGTGAAGGGCTTGCCCACAGAAGTTTTGCCTTTCTGGTTTTGATACGAAGTCCAGGTGTTTACAGACTCCTTCACCTGGCAGAGTTGGCAAGGGGAGGGTAACTGCTGAAATCATTATTGGCAGCCCCTCTGCAGCCTGGAGGCTGTTTAGGGATACACCAACAATTTCAGGGGAACTAGTGTACAACATGTGGGGCTCACACTGTGTGCTTTTCTGCTTAGCAGGATTAATTTCCAGGCACCATGGAACTCCTGAAGTTTGAGGTTGTCTTTTACATTCACCATCACTGCTACTTTCTGCTTAGATGTTATTCCCAGCATCTAAGTATGCTGGGAAAGTATTAGAAATTTCCCTGGGGGGAAAGTTTGGATAAATGAAGAGTTTGCTTAGTGGATGTTCTGCCTTTCATGGGTCATCTTGTTCAACATTTGTGTGTTTTGGTTGTTCTCCATTGCCTTTGATCATTTCCCTCCAAATTCTATAATTCTTATTACCAGGAGGGTTACTCTGACATAAAGCTATTCAATCTTGTGCTATCTGGCACAAGCTGATAAGGATTTCAAGTTTGCACTGCACTTAGGAGAGTAAGACAAGACTAAAGTTGAACATGCTAAATTATCTAGTGACTCAAATAAATAAGGAAAATTATAGCCTTGTGTGGTGGAAGAAGCTTTCAATTCCAAGACTGATGTCATTTGGAATATGTACAAAATGTTTTGGACTTCTGGCTCACTTGGCAAACAAGAACATTTGGGACAGCAACCTGTCCCCAGGGTAGAGACTAAATCCATTTATGAGACAATGTTGACACTTAAAAGCTGTCTTAAAACCTGCAGGCATTACATTTTGCAATACTCATCCTGCTGGAATTCATGTCTAACCAGTGCCTGCCAAGAAGCTTGGGTCAGATTCTCGGAAGACTGAGACATTCAATGCCACCCAGGTGGCTGGGAGTAGAAAGCAAATGCTTCTCTGTTAGTGCAGAACAAAAAGTGAGCTTCTAGAAGCATTCTGGAATTGGAGGTTCATGGAGATTTTAAATATCAGACCAAAAGATGGCACCCTTTACAAATTCAATTTGGCACATGGGAGAGAGAATACAGAAAGTTATCCTTGCTATCAGCTCCAGAAACATCATGTGGAAAGCAACGTCATCACTGATTTCAAAGAAGTAGGATGAGAAGAAGGAACATATAGTTATCAGATAAAAGACAAGTTAAAGTTGACAGTAGAAGTCAGAGCTTGGAGGAAGTCTATAGACTCTAGGAATCCTTTCTAGGTTTTATATGTTGCCAAGAGTCTGATGGTCAGTTCCTGTCCTTGCTATGGGTTGATGGTAAAGGCAGGGTTTGCTGGGGAAGAGGGTTGGGGCCACAGCTTTTGTTTTCAGTGAGTATCAGGCAGTTTTCAGAGTCCCTGGAGATGGCCTAACTGCTTCAAACAATTTTTGTTCAGATACGAAAGGAACTCAATTTTGCTTCCTCAAGAGTTACAGTTTATGGCTCTTACCTCAGCGAGAGCACCCCTTTCAAAATCTATGCTGTGCCGCATTAGTGCAAAGTCTTCAGTGCGCCCCAGGCCACTCAGCCTGTGTCAAATGCTTTAATGGTCTTGCTCTTCTCCCAGAGTGTCCTGACCGACCTCAACTCCTGCTCCTCCCTCTTCCGCTCCCTCCACTTTAGTTCCAATTTGCTCTTTGTATGTGCCAGGCACGTTTCCATGACAATGCTCTTACTTGGCTTTTGTTTTTTCTCTCTGGAAGACTCTGCCGTGTGGTTAAGTTCTGTATCTTTTTCAAGTCTCAGCTCAGATTTCACTTGGAGAAGTCTGTTCCAACTGCTCTACTTAAGAGTGATTTTGCCTTTCATTGGCAATTCTTCTTCTGTTTCACCTTTTCCCTCCATAGTCACCATCACCCTTTCCTTATTATCTTATTGTTCGCTGACTGTCTCCTTCCATTTAAACTTCAAGACAGCAGTGATTTATTTGTTTGCTGATGTTTCCCAAGCATTTACAAATACTGGCAAGTCAACGACATCTTCCACACTGACAATGCAGAAGCATCTGTTCTTCATTGGGTGAATAAGTGAACCCAAATTTCTGAAGTCTTAAACCTCTGTCATATAAACACTACTTTCTTTGTATGGAGACAGCTAAAAAGCATCTGAGTGCATAAATATAGTTCTCTGCCTTTTGTAATAATTCTATAATTTTAGAATTACAGCAGTGATAAGAACCTAAGGCTGTTTCGTTTATTCCTGCATTCCCACCATCCCTCATTCTTCAACCTGATAGCTGTAAGAAAAGTCTACTTATATTCTGTGAATATGAAACTAAGTCCAACAGCCCAGTCCTTAGTCTAACAGTCCATCTTGGAATTGACCCCTGCCAATTCCACTGAGTGAACTTGGAAACTGACTCTTCCCCAGTCAAGGCTTCAGCTAAGACTGCAGATTCTGAGCAAAGATCTGGAGTGGAACTTCCTGACATAGTTCATGGAGCTGGGCATGTTTCTAGCTTAGCTGTTCCTTGATACTGTACTCACAGAAACTGTGAAATAACAAGTATGTCTTCCTTAAATTTTACACAGCACACTAAGTTTTAGGATAATCTGTTATGCAGCAATGGAAAAATAATACAGCAGACTTTGAATGTTGAGTGATGATATGAATGG